CCATGATCATCATCATCATGCTCATTTGGAGCTGGGTGTCCTTTTAATCCTCGTGGAAAGGAATTGGCCACTTAGCTCCTTCATCCCTATCCTCCCGCCTATCACTGGGGCTGTCAGTCATTCTTACCAATCACCCGACAGTGCCCTCCTAAGCTCCACCCTGTGGGCGGGGCCTCCCCTTACTGAGCTAGGTTCCCAGGTGATTTTTACGTCCTTCTCTCTGCTTGGTTGTATTTCTTTAAAGTTCTACAATAAACATGTATTATCTGTATAGCAAGAAAAAAGAAAACTCAAGGTAAGAAAAGCATAACAGGGGCATATCCCTGCCTGCTGCTTTCTTCCTATTCTGGAACGGGGTAGGGGAAGGACATCCTTTGCTTTCCTTCTTTACTAGCTACCAAGTTATGAGGAATAAGAATGATCATTATTTACATTTCTTCACCTATGTTCAGCATTATTTCATGCTCCACACTGTGCTCACTGCTGGGAAATTGCATAAGAACTTTTAAAAACTAGCTGGTAAGGAAGGCGGTAATGATTAACCCATCTATCAGGTGAGAAAACTGAAGTCATCTCAGGGTGGGTGGTGAGTCAGTTGCACAAAGCCACGCAAGTTGCACAAAGCCACGCAACTGGTAAGGAAAGAAAGGGGTGGCGGGTTTACCCTCAGGCATTTTGGTGTTAAATGCAGCGTTCCTTCCTCTGCACAGTGTGTGGGCGGGGGGGGGGGGCAGTGGGCTGAGGGTGCTGAGGATGAGGTGGAGGTTTGCAGGGGGAGAAGCACATCCTGGATGGCTACAGAGGGAATCAGTGGAGTGAGAAAAGGACTCGGGGTTATGAGGTTCTTCTGCCTTTGGTTGCAAAGGCTGCTTGGGAGCTGTGGGTTTCCAGGGCTGCTGAGGATGACCTCTGCCATGTCCCTGCTGTGTCGTGTCCGAGGAGGGGACAGACAGAGGTCTGGTACCAGGCTCAGCACCCCTCCCCCCAAGTCCTGCTTGTGGTGCCATACCCGTTTCTCAGCCTCCCAGGTGTCCATGACCACGAGCGTTGTGTCCTCTCCATCTACTGTGAGGGTCCTCTCGTACACATCTTCTGCAACCGAGGAAAGAGCCAGATCTCAGGGAGGAGGGGCAGGCGTGAGGAGGACGTGGCCCCCCTAGTCCCCTTTCTGGTCACAGTGCCCCCTCCACTTGTGCTGGAAGTGCGCACCCCCTTGTTTGATGTCTGTCTCTCCTGACAGCTCAAGAAGCTCCATGAGGAGCCCATGTTTCCCCCGCTGCCAGAATCAAATAGTAGGTGCTGAGAAAGCTTTTGCTAGTTTGGTTTATTGATGAGTGCGGGATGGTGGGGTTAAAGCTGGGCTGGGGACTCTCCCAGTCCTTCTCTGTCCCTGACTTAGTGTATGCTTCGGGCAGGTCACAGTATCCTCTTTGGGTCTCAGGCTCCCTGCTTGTCACACCTACAGGTGCACGTATCTACACCTTTCATCTAGGCTTCTCACACTCAGAGGGGTCAAGGCTCGAGAAGGGGCCTGGCCAGAGTGTCCCCACTTTCTCTTTGCTCTTAACCGCCCTCCCACTGCACTCAGCCTGTGTCCTCCCGGCTGGTTCTATAGGAACCCATCTTCATTTCCTCTGTCCTGCCCTTGTCTCCTCCCTGCATCCTGGGGCCCCTGGCCCTCTTGGCTCACTGCATCTCTCAGGAGAAAAGGGAACTGGGGAGTCTCCTTTTGGGGCAGGATCTTAGTTTCGCTGCAGGTTGTTGGTGGCCTTAGATGGTTGTCTGGAGCTGGGAGGATCTGAGAGTCAGGGGAAGTTGGAGCTGGGAGTTTCTGAGTGGGGTGGAAGCCTACGATTTCTTTCCACTTGAGACTCATGGAACGCAGAATTGCTTCCCTATGACATGGAAATTAATCATATACCTCATCCATGAGAACTTGGCAACTTTCTCACTATTCAAGGCATTTCCCTCCTGTAGACTGTTGTGCCGGCTGTGCCCTGCACCACTCTGGGTGGGGGGGCATCATTCACTTCATAGTCTATGTGAATGATGCCCTTTAGAGTTGAGCAGTGTGTGAGTTGCACAACTCTTCTTGGCAGCCTTGTGCCCCTGACAACAGGGCTTTCACTCCTTTGGCCACATCCCAGCCCAGCCCACAGGGTCCCTACCTCCCAGCTGTTCATGGAGGTCCCGCTCTTGCTTCCCTGCAAAGAGGCTGGCCAGGCTGGTCTTCCCTACGCCCGGGTCTCCAAGCAGTACCACGCGGTAGAGGGCCTCCCAGGAGCCTTCAGAGTCACTGGATTCAGAGGACCAACCATTGGGGGCAGGCGAAGGTTGCCGGGTGGGAGGATTGAGGGAGGCTGACTGGCTCAGCCGGGGATGCTGGAATTTTGTGGAAGGTGCTGTACACAGGAGGCCAGGCTGGTGGCCCCGGGGGGACAGGGGCAGTGGAGTGCTGGCTCGCCGACGCAGGGGGGTCTTTGCTTCTTGCTGGGTGTTTAGTGTCATCCTTGGCGGGGAGGGGCTTTGATCCTTCCTTCCTTCTGTAAGCAAGAAGCAAGAATGGGCAGTGAGCCAGGCACCTGTGAGCCCCTTCTGCAGGGTCCAGATGAGCTTCTGAGAGGACTTCCTCCAAAACCTTCTCTTGTTCAAATGACAGGAGGAGGCACCTCAGTTCCTTGGGGTGGGGGCTTCCTGGCTTCGGGGCGGAGTAAACCTGGGTCAGGCTGGGTGGGGTGACTATGCAAGCAGCGAGCACACGCATATGCACACCCTCAGGTGACTTCCTCTGCCTTGAGGATGACCCAATACCCCAGCACACACGGACAGAGACAGACAGAGGGGCAGCAGCGAGGTGGGATGTCCATACAAGCATGCACACACCCGTGTACACAGACGTGCCCCCCCCCTTTGGAATATGGGACCCACGTTCTGAAAGGCTCCTGAATTGCCCCAGTCCTCCTCTTCCCCACAGCTCTCTTCCCCAAGGTTCAGATCGGGGTTGGAGGGTGGAGGGCTCCTGGGGGGTTCACTTCCGCTGCCCCATCTCCTGAGGGCGGAGGAAGAGGCAGGACGGAGTGGGTTGGTATTCCGAAGGGCGAGGGGAGTCTGGGGGTTCCCTCGGCTGTAACCCGAGCGCCCTGGTGCCATGGGAACGGCGTGTCCGGCCCGCCCCCTACGTGAAAAATTCAGGAGAGGCCGGGCGACGGCCTCCAGCGGCTATTGGGGGGGGTGTCGAGGCAGCGGGGCCCCGGTTTTGGTGACAGGACAGGGTCCTGGCGGGGGGTGGGGAAGGGACCTACAGGGCCCGGGGGCGCATGTGCCATTCCCGGAGTCTGAATCCAAGCTTCCCCCGCCCCGGGTGCTGGGTGTGAGTCCCCCGATCCCGGGAGGGCTTCTTGCCCGAGGCTATGCAACCCACCAGGCCCCAGGCCTGAGGACCCTCCCCCCGGGACGCGGGTTCGAGGCCTCCCTCGTCCCTGCCTGCGCCGCAGAGCCCCCCATGCAGGCGCCTGGCGAACTCCGCTCCAACTTGACTAAGTTGGCGGCGGGCTGCGCGGGCCTTTACCTCGCGTGGGGAGGGGTCCAGGGTCCCCGGCCGCCGTAGCTGCCGGTTGCTCCAGGCTGCACCACCGCCTCGGCGCGCAGCCCCTCCGGCCAGTCCCGCCCCGCCGCCCGGGCCGGGGGAGGAGCCGCGACCCCGCCCCGTCCAGCCCCGCCCCGTCAGGGCAGCCCCGGGGTACCCGCCCCGAGGCCGCGGCCGCCCAATGATTTTAAGACTTTTCGCAGAGCTCAGTTGACCCACTGCCGCAAGGTCTTCGCCTGGGGTGGTGGTGGCAGTGTCGGGGTGGGGAGCGAGAGAGAGGAAAGAAGGGATTTCTGAATTCCTGGGTCTGCATCCCCTCTGCATCCACGCCAGCAACGGGGCGCACCAACTTTAGCCCTCGCAGAATCCACCTGGGGAGCTGGTGGACTGCTGATTTCCAGGTCTCACCCTTCAAGAACGGAGGATTCAGCCGTTCTGGGGGAGGGCTTCCGGAATCTGCCTTTTAAACAAGTGCCCAATGATCTTGCAGAGTTCATGGACCCCACTTTGAGAAACTCAGCTCTGGATGGAGAATTAATTTTGGGAGGTGGCTCCAGGGGAGGAGGGAGCCTAGGAAGTCTGCACTGAAGACTTCTGAATATCTGATTTTGGCATCCCATTCATTCATTTACCAAATTCTAGGTTAAGCACTCTTTATGCAGGGGGCGGCCCTGTGCCTGGAGAGTGGCTGTCCCCACTCTGATAAATATTTACTGGGTATTTGGGCTGTGGCTGGTATGTTTTGAGCACATTGCCTGGAGTATTAGCTCATTTAATCCCGGCACAACACTAAAAGGCTGATTACACTGAGGCTTACCTGGGTCTGGGACTCAGGATTCTGCCTCTTAGCCAACTGTCCCTTTCCATCACCGCCCATGGCTTTAAAAAAAAAAGCCTTCCTAGGCACTTGGAGGAGGAGAGACACACTGTGATCCTGGTAGAGTAAGGCAGTTGGGAACTGGTGATTTTGGCCATCCAAGGAGCCAGGATCCAGGCTCTTTGGGCAGGATGCTTCCTTTGAGGTCTTGAGGGACCGGGGCGGGTTTGTATGTGGGCCCTTGCAGACCAGGCTGTACCTGTGGGTGGGGTTCATTGTCATGGCTGAGGGGGTCCAGGTGTCCAGCTCAGAGCAACTCCCACAGTAGCCTGTAGATTAGTTCAGCCTCCGCAGGGCTGGGGGCAGACAATGGACCCCCTCACGCCTGGCCTCCTTCTGTGGTTTGGCCTTCTTGGCATCCCTTTCCTACCCACAAGATGGGTTGTGACTGGTGTCATGTCACACATTGTCTGGGAATGAGGCAACTTAGCTTCCAGTCCCAGCTCTGCAGCTCAATTGCTGTATGGTTGAGCAGTCCCCCACATAGCTGGCTGAGATCCAGCTACATCCTTGGGATCACAGAACCTCCGCCTCCCACTCAGGTCTCCTGCTGCCCACACTCCAGCCTTGATCTGCAGCCTGAAAAAGGCTGGGCTGCAGGCAGCAGAACTCAGTATGCCTGGCTCCTCTGGTGTTCTCCCCAGTGACCTCCCTAGAAGCCCTGCGGCCATGACACAGCTGCTTCTGCTCATTGTGGCTCTCCTGGCCCTGGGTCATATGCCTCCAGGTAACCAGCCGTGTGTGTGTGTGTGTGTGTGTGTGTGTGTGTGTGTGTGTGTGTGTGT